ATGCCTTAAATGTAAATCTTTTATAGCTGCATCGAACTCATTTAACATAGTTCATTATACCTAAAAAAAGAGATAACCATTGTTATGGACTACCTATGTAATAAATATATGTTTTCTTAGAGTATTTACAGTAAATTTATTTCTTCAATTTATTAATATTATACTGTCAATTCTAAATAAATGAATTCCAAGTATATACAAAGTTATATTTAATTTCTCTGAAGGCAGTCATTGCTTCGTTCAAGCTTACGTATAAAAATTTTAAATTGCATTTCTAATATATACTATATACAGTATACACATAACTATAAATATAGCATATATATACAAATTATGTTAAACTAGTTAGTCTAACTATAGAAATTGGCAATAGTGATATTATAGTTAACCCTCGGTTGAGCTATATAGTTCACTAAACATAACCTGATCATTCGATCGATCAGCATAGTTTTGGGTATACTAGTGTTTCGGGCTAAACTACTTTTCAAAGTTCGCTAAAGAAATAGTTTTTAGTTTAATTATTAACGAAAAATTTCTTTCAGGTGAAATATATATATATTTTTTAAAAAAAACGTAATATAGTAAATTCTTTGATTACACAGATTCGTATGGTATGGAGGTATAAAGTATGAATTTAGAAAAGCCGTCTTTAAATATAATATTAGGGTTATTAATTTAGAAAATTATCGTTATATCTATTTTAATATATGGCACAGTCTTTCGGATTTGTACAGTACTGTGCGCACTCTCACAACATGCAATTTTTTTGGTCACCTATAGTATACCAGATACTGATTTGCTACGTATAATCTTTAGAAGATTGGTTTTCAAATAGGTACGTACTGTACGTACGTATGTGTTCTGCACTTCCTTATGCCATAATGATTAGGTCACCCAAACGTGATAGTTATGGTTTATAGATACATTCTCATTTATCGTTATACTAATTTTCGAAATTCATGCAATGCATTAAATATACATATATTTGAAATAGGCAAAACTTAATTTCATATATATATATATATAAAAGATACTACGTATACGTACCATACCATTCTCTTTTACATATTCAGTATATTGGTAATTAATATTACCGTAAAAAGAATTGACATTTATCAAAAATAGTTACGTAGTCTTTTGTTTTTTCTTTAATATTCTTGTTTAACTACTATTACAAGTATTTACCAATTAGCACGTTGACAAGGGAATAGACTTTTCATTTCTTTTGCATGGTGGCGCTAAACGCTTATATAGTACGTCATAATCTAGAATTTAGTTACGTATAAAAACACTTAAAAAAAATTCTTTAGTAATCCGTTTCTTTATTTTCTTTATTTGCGATGTTATTTCTTTATTTGCGATGTTATTTCTTTATTTGCGATGTTATTTCTTTATTTGCGATGTTGTTGTTTGTTAAATCTTTTAACATATAGATACGTATAATTAATTAATTATCCTTAAAAATTATTTATGATATCATAAAATTTTATGAAAGATAAAGTTGATTTGTTATTTATAAACAAGGAGCTCTTTGCTAAAGAATGCTGTAACCTAGATATGGTGAATCACACGTTCATTCCTTAAAATTTAGTGGATAAGTAATATTGCTTTAAGCATATCATTACATTATTTCTAATACAGTTGTTTATCTAGTGTTTAACTTTTTTGGATTAAACTTAGTTTAGATCAACAATGCAATCGAAAGCTTATTGAGTTCTACGAATACTTAATTTGAACCTCTAGCAAAATTGTGCACTACCTATACGGAGAAAAACTCTGTTTCGCCCATCACGTGATCTTGCATATAGTCATCGTTGTTTTATATTTTTTATTTTATTTTAGATCTACAATTATACAATGTCGATGTGGATTAATGCACAATATTAAGAAATGTACAATGCATATCTGAATTTAGAAGTCAAGAAGTTGATGAATACGTACCAATATTAAAATTTAATAATTATTGATTGTTAAATTTTATTTTTGTTAAAAAAAAAAAAAAAAGAATAAAAATGAGTATTTTCCCGAAAAAATTCTCACCCAACTTTCAAAAAGCTCTTTTTTTTTGCTTTCAGCGAAAGGCATCCAATTTTTTTTTTTTAAAAAAAAAAAACAACTTTCATTCATTCATCTATTAAACACGTATGTTTCATACAGCTCTAACGATAAAAATGCTTCATTTATTTGACGCGATTTATAATTTCTTTTTAAAATATTCCGATTTTCACCTTCTTTTATTCATTCTTCTCTTTTATCTCGCGATTTATCCCTACATTGATTACTTTAAATCTCGTAAAGATCGTGTTAATGGTCCTATTCCATACCCTTTTTTAGGGCATCTCAACATTCTTTTTGGAAATCTTGCTGATAATTTTTATCATTTAACTGATAAATATGGTGGTATTTGTGAATTAAAAATGTTTGGTTTTCGCACCGTTTTAGTTGGTGATCCTACATTTTTAAAAGATTTATTCTCTCCTAGCGTACATTCCCCTTTTTTACGTAGAATTCCTTTATTACCTGGTTTTAAAGAATTAGGAATGGATAAAGAAGGTTTATTATTAAATTTAGATATACCAAAATGGAGACATAATCGAAAATTCTTTCAACAATCTTTATCTCCTCCAAGTTTTATAGAGTTGAGTACTTTATATACTCGTGATTGTTGTGAAGAAATGATGACTTATTGGAATAATATTAATTATGATCAAGTCGTTAGATTAGATGAATGGTATCGTGCTTTTACTAGTGATATGATGGGTTTAGTTGCTGCTGGTTCTAAAGAAGAATCTTTAAAAATTCTTTATAAAAAGACTGTTGATAGTAATGCTAAATTATCTTTTGATTCAGAAAATGTTGATTTAAATAATTTAAATAAGTTAAGTAATGGTGAACAATATAGAAGATTACGTTCTGATTACGCGGATGCTATCGCCTTTTTCGTATTTCTTCCAAAATTTGTTTGGAATTTACCTTGGCTTAAAGAAAAATGCAAATATTTTCGTCAAGTTTTGGTTGCTCTCTCTGAATTTGAAATCAAATTTATAAAAGAACGTAAAGCTATGATTGAAGAACAAAAATATATTAATACTATAACTTCTGATACAAATAAAAATATTATCAGTCCTAATTTGAGTGGAACTAAAGTAAGATCGGATTTTCTTACTATGTTACTTACTATGAACACTGATTCTAATCCATCTCCTGAGGATATTAAACAAAATGTTCGAGAAATGTTTGGTGCTGGAACTGGTACTACTACTACATCTCTTTGTTCTATCGCTTATCTTTTGGCAAAACATCCTGAAGTTGAAAAACGCATGGTCAAAGAAATATTAAGTGTCGTTGGTCCAACAAAAAACGTTGGTTCTTATGATCTTTCAAAACTCGTATATACTGAAGCTGTTATATATGAAGCGTTGCGGTTATACCCTGTTATTCCTATAACATTCCGATACACACCTGACGTTTCTACTCAAATTGATGGTCATAATTTTCCACCAAATACGATCTTTGGCATAAATTTAGGTCATATTCAAAGAAATGAAAAATATTTTAAAGATCCAAACACTTTTAATCCTGAAAGATTTTTAGGAAATTGGAGAGAAACTTTACCACAATTTGCTTTCTCTCCTTTCGGTCAAGGAATGAAATCATGTCCTGGAAAACATTTTGCAATGACTGAGATAAAAGTTATTTTAGCTACTATTTACAGAAAATATACTTTTAGATTAGTTAATCCAAAAGAACCTTTGCATTTAAAATTTACCCTCGTTAATGATATTTCAAAGTTGGAAGTTTTTCTTGAAAAGCGAAAATTAGAGTAATTTAGTCATTTTTTACTTTGTAGATTAACTCTTTTATTTGCATATCTTTTTACATGTCAGGTATATGTATTTTTTATTTATTTTACATAGCATTTTATATATATATATATATATAATAAATATATAATGATAATATAATAACATTTCTTTTTTACAATATGTTTTTTTAAATGTTTTTAAATGATCTAAACTACCAAAATCCGTTTTGCAAGAAATATTTCTATACGTTTGTTAAAAAAAAATTTAAGATCAACTTAAAAGAATCCAAAATTTAGCAAAAAAAAAAGTGTTAAGCATATAATGAACATGTCTTTTTATGTTTTTTATTTCCGTGTTTGCGTATCTCGTTATAATCTGCCAAACATCTATAATATTTTTTGAAAGAAAGAAAATGTTACTATTTTTTAAATACAAATATTATAGAAATATTAAAATAACCATTAATCTTTGTTATTTCTACGTATACTTACAACCAACAAAATTCATAAGAACATGATCTGATTTTACATGTCATATGATTACATCCACCATTTTTCTCGATATGAGTTCCACATTTAGGACAAGGTTTTGTATGTTTCATAAGATAATGATTGGTAGCAGCTTCCGATTCTTTTCTCTTTTCTTCATATTGTTGACATGACATATTTTCGTGCCATGGAACATCGTGTGTATAGCATGATTTCTCCCCACATGATCTACATGTCATTATTGGAGCATCATCTACACACATAATAACACATAATATATAACAATTTAATAACAATTTAATAACGATTGGAATAAGCAGTACGTATACAGTATCGGCATATATTGTAAATACTTATGAATGAATAATTTAAATATATAACGAAAGAATAATTTTATTATATTACCTCTTTCATAATGAATTTGGCCAGATCCACACCTGGAATTTTTACACCATCTAAAATCTGGCATTATTCTTAATGCTTGACGAAGTGATAATGTATCAAATCTTTACAGAAAAAAGGATTTTGACCATTAGAAATATAACTTTAAAAAAAAAAATCAATATTGATTTGATATTACCTCTCAAATAACTCACGATTAACTATTCTCTTAACATCATTATGTTCAATGATTTGTTTACATCCTTCAAAAGGACATTGAATAGAAACATCTCCTTTTCCACATAACCTTGCGTCTATATGTCGTTCAACACAACCCCTGCATATATTCTTATCATGTTTACATTTTGATGTTGCAACTAAAAATAATGTCGGTGATTTTTTTTCTATACATATATTACATTCTTGACTTAAATTATTACCCATCTGTATATAATTTTTAAAAAAATTTTTTCCAAACATGAAAAATACAAAATTAAATATTTTAAAGCAAAAGAAAGATTCCGTTTATCATTATCGTTATACATATCGATATACATAATCTCAGCCTTTTTTGTGCAAATTTGGTTACGTAACACAAAATGTTACATGTTTTATTACCAGTACCAGTGGGGCAGGGTTGCAATGGAACTCAATGGAGCTGCGAATGGAGCCAATGGATACTAGTTGTTAGACGAAACCTGGAGTTTTCGCGCTGACGAAACGCGAAACCTAGTTTCATCTTTCATCAATTAAAATCTTAAATGACGAAATGACGAACTTGACGAAAGGTGACGAAATTGCAACTAATTAATGATGAACCAAAAAATCGAATTTTCAAAAAGAAAATGATCATCCATCATCATGTAAAATAAGTCAAGGGTAGCTATACTGTTTTTGATACTTTTGGCTTAAATGAATGCTAAGATTTGAAATATTTATTTAAAATCATCAAAAAAGGCACCTCTGTTTTCGAGATATCACATTATTTGATAACGCATTCACTGTGAGCGTTATTTAGAACCATGCCCGAATTAAGCATAATGTGTGCCAAATTTTGAAATTATACCCCTGCGCATTATTTCGCGAAAAATACGAGTTTATTTTCTTAATCGCTTAGTTTTGTTTGTTTCTTTGCCAAAACATCGCCATTTGACAATATATGCATGTTTGTTTGTTTGTTCGAGAACACTATGGTTTCGTCATTTTGAATTTTAGGTCGAGGTTTCGTAATTCTGAATTTAAATTTCGTCTTTAGATCGTCATTTCGTGTAAAGGGTTTCGTCTAACAACTATGGGTCATCAGGCATTGAACGGTTTTTGGGCATTTCGGAAATTTAGTTTTGCATTTTCTAAATATTTGTATTAAGGCAGACAATAGTGCGTAATAATTTAACATTCTTAGATAATCATACGCATTAAAATATTTACTTAGCTAAATTTGGTATAGGGACTCAAATGGGTATTTAGAAGGTTTTGTTGTTATAACGGAAACTCGTTTTATGCCTTAAGTAAAAAGGCTGGGTTTATATATTTTTTAAAATTCTATATAATTACTAATTATAGTTTGTGTTATTGTATTATTATGTCAATAGAACTTGTCAACAAGACTTGTCAATAAGACTTGTTAATAAAACTTACTAACAAAATTTGTTAATAAAACTAGCCAACAAAATTAGCTAATAGAACTAGCTAATAGGATTTTACTATTTATTGATTATTAGTTTAAATAAAAGTCTATAAAAACTATATATATTATCAAAACTAATACTAAAGAATTTATTAGTTAAATAATATCAAATAATTTCAACTCTTTCTGACAATCACTTGTACCAAATTAACAACAAATTTTTTTTTAGAAAAATTTAATAAGTTTAAGGTAAAATGGATATAGAAGAGAGTGGAAATCATAAGTTAACATCTATTATTTAGAGGTAGTTCTTATACACTACCTTCTAGTAGGTTTAGAGTTTATTGCTTACTGCAGAAACAGCACCTGTTATTTAGAAGTAGTTCTTATATACTACTTGTTAACAAGCTCAAAGTTTATCACTTATCAAAAAAAAAGTTCCAATATATTAACTACTATTACAAGTCTTATTTTATTTTGGACAAAAAATTAATATATTTTTTAAAAGATAGTACAAGTAATATAATACTTCTTTTTGTCCTGTACTGGTCTTTTTAAAATTTTCTCAAAAAAGTGGGCAAAACAGTTTATTTTTATTAAAAGATTAGTATTATTTACATCTTCTATTTTAGACAAACTTAATAGATTACAACTATATATTTGGTTTGTTGTTTTTAATATAATGTTACTTCATATAACATAATTGGGTTCCAGGTTAAAGAAATATCTAAAAATAGATAAACTATTGTTAGAAAAAAAAAATTTTATTAAAGTTAAGCTTTACAATAGAAATATACAATTGTTATAGTTGTTATATAATTTTTATAGGTTTTGTTTAGGTTATAATAGTGTAGTTGTTTCTTTTTTTTATTCTTTTTTTTTATTTAAAAAGTTTTTTTATATTTTTTTTTTAGTTTAATTTTAGCTTTAGTTAGCTTTGTATAAGTCATTCTTTTTGTTTTTCTTTTTTTATATTCTACTATCTACCTTTTTTTATTTCTTTTATTTATTCTTTTTTATTTTATTTTATTTTTTTTTAGTATAGCTCTTTTTGGTTTTTTTTCTTTTACTTTAAAGCTTTTATACATTGTGTATAGTATAGAGATTGTACCCAAGTAGACATTTTTATTATATAGCTATAATAAATTACCCAGATAACTAGGTAATTTGATAATATCTGGATAGAGATTTTCTTGATAGGTACAATCTCTAGTATAGTATTTTACTTTCTTTTACTCTTGATAAAAAAAAAAATCTAAAAAAATTAGCTTTTGATATAGTTAACAAAATCTTTTATATTTTCTAAAAAGTAGTATAACAAGTTATATTAGTGGTTGTTTATATAAAAAACTAAACAATACTAAACTTGCTATATGTGGATATTAGAGTAAATTTTATATGTATTTCTTTTATTTTTTAATAAAAATACTAACAAAACTATCAAAGAGTTAAAAAAAATTAGTTAAATAATATTTGTACTATACTTAGTAGTTATATAAAGTTAAATAATTTTTGTTTTTTTTTATTTTTTTTAACTTTTTGATAGTCTTGTCAATATTTTTATTAAAAAATAAAAAAATATATATATAAGGCCACACAAACTTAATGATTCGGTTTTCATAACCCGGCCGGGTCAAAACTTACAAATTTTTTAAAAAAATTTTAAGTATATTTACTATCCGGGTAAGTTTTTTAAAAAAATCTATAAAAAATTTTATATGTTTTTTATATATAAAATTTTTTCAAAATAAAATTAAAAGCCGGGTTGCCGGGTCACTTTTAAAAATTTTATGTTATGAAAACCGAATTATTAAGTTTGTATGACCTAATATCTACTCTAATATCTATATTTAGCAGGTCTGGCATTACTTACTGTAATTTGCAACAAATAGTACCCTCTTATTAGTGTACCCCCACGATTTGTACCTGGAATTAATTAAGTATTTGTCACAAACATAATTGTAAAAGACCCGGGTATATCTAAGATATAATTTATATAGTGCATGACTTCTTTTATATCTATTTTGTTATAATTCTATTAAATGATTAATCAACCTAATTATTCTTCTTATTTAAACTCCTCCATATAAAATACTCTCCATTTAACAAAGTACCCACTGGGTACTAATCAAAATTTTGCTTCTAGAAATATAAGAAACCCAGGGTACTATTTGCCGCAAATTACGGTAATTACTTTATAAGCAACTACTAGTGTAACCTATTATACTACCTTCTAAAAGAGATAGAAAACCTTGTTTAGCTCTATCAAAAGCCAAACCAAAATAACTTAGTGCTATTCTTAATATAATTTTTAATTATATTTTTTCATTTTTTATTTACAACTTCTTTAATATTTGTAGTTTTTTTGCTAACAGATATAGTGAAATACTAAGATTTTTTCTTTTTCTCTTTTTTTTCTCTATATTCTTTTTTTATTAGTTTTTTTTTCTTCTTCATAACTAATATTATCCCTTAATTGGTAGAGATTTGCAGGCAAATTTGCCTGCATAATTACTATAAATATGTCTCTGATCTACTTTTT